TATATTGAAATTACCTATAATTATTAGTATCATCTTTTTATTTATCACCTGTTCTGTTCAGGAAATGATTTGGTTTTAAGTCTTTGTATTTATTATCTTGTCTTGAGGTAAATATACAGAGATGATTCGAAGTTTCATCTTGTTTGAGAAAAAGAGATTAATACATATCACAGTTCCTAGTTTTGTTTGGATATTATGAATGTATGGTTACAGGGTATGTTTTATCACTATTGCTATACCAAGGCTTGTTTCTTGTCCTTTTGTATTTGTTGAGTTGTTGTTTGCAATATATATCTTGTACCAGAGATTTTGTAGCTCTAGTGTTTCAAATTTTAATTTAGCTAATTTTGTTTCTGTAATGCTAACTATATCTATATCTTGTTCTTTGCAGTACTCTATTCAAAGTTGTCTTTTTAGATTATTGTTTAGACTATGTACATTGTAAGTTATAATTTTTAGATTGTTTGTTAGTGGGTTGTTTTTGTTTCTATTAGTACTTCTGTTATTTTCTGTTATTAATAAAAAATATTCTAGGATAGTATGGAGAGTTCTGGTAGATTTAGTAAGTAGTCAGATATTTGTAGTATTTTAAAGTATTCTTTAAGCTTGTTAATTATTGGTATAATTTCTTGTTATATAGTAATAAGTAGTTTGATTTGAAGCTTAATTTCTTTATTTTCTATATACTCTTGAAGTTTAACAAATATAGAGGGGATTGGAGGCTTTGTTTTCTCTTCTGTTAGGTTTTGTGTATTATATTGTCTTGGTTTGATATCAATTCACTCATTAAAAATTTTTGTAAAGTAGTAGGTAGTTCTAAGTAATCTTGCTGTTTCAGTTAGTGATTATAGTATGCTAATAGGAATAGTTAGATTGAATTCCTTAATTTTTTTGTAGTCATGAAGTAGTTATAGTTTGTTAGTAGGGTTTGCAGTTATGATTTCTACTACAATTAGAAGCTTTATTTTGTATTTCTTCTTAGCTGTTTTCATAAATCTTCTTGCTTCTTCATTATTTGTTATTGAATATGCGAATTTGGTATTAAGATTGATTTTTTGTAAGTTTTTGGGTAGTAGGGGTCTTTGTTTGAAGTAGTTATTAGATATATTTTTGAAGATATAGTATTCTTTAAGTATATCTTTACCTTCTTTAATTATATATTCTTCTGTAGATAGGTCTACTAGAAATATTTCACAAACTCAGCTGTTAAGTTTGTGGTATATTATAGGCAAAGCTTCTCTTGGTAGTGGTAGATCAAAATATATTTTTAGTAGTTAGTCAAAACTGTAATAATCTCGAAGCTTCTATACATGATATTGAAGTTGTTGAAGTTAGCTTCTAATATGTATTGAGAATACATATTTCATCTTAATTAGTAGATCATATAGTGTTTTAGAGAGTTGAGGTAACTCTTTGAAGTATGTTTTAGATAGGTAGCTAAAGTTGTAAATAATTCTTAATATATTTACTATAGCAGTTGTTTATAACTTTTTTTTGATCAGTAGTTCGAAAGGTAAAATATTTTATATTTCTTCTGAGATTAGGTTCAGGCTCTCAGGAAGTTCTTAGAGTTTTGTATTTATTGCATCTTCTATTGCTTTTTGTATTGTAGTATAGTCTTCAATCTTTTTTGCTTTAATAAAATTTCTTGCATATTTTAGCTCTTGATATATTTGGTACTTGTTGAGTTTTCAAAAGTTTGTGTTGAGTAAATAGTCAATCATAATTTTTTGTTATAATTTAAGTTAGATTATATTTCTTGTTTTTCTGTTTAACAAAGTAATTTTATTAGTTTGTTTGTATATCTGTATTGCTTTTGTTTGTAAGTCCATAAACTCTTTTTGGTATGCTGGAGTTGTATTCTTCTCTTGTGTAAAAGTCACAAGGAAGGCTATATCTTTGTAGATGAATTTTTTCTTTATTGCTTCAGGTATTTGGATATTAGTAGTTGTTGTATTAAGCTTGTATTCTATGAAGTTTCTTATTCTTTTGTTTGTATTGAGAGCTTGGATAATTTTGTTATAATCCTATGTCTCTGTGTCAAATTCCTTTGTTATTACATTTTTTATTACTTTCTTTATATATTGTTACTAGTGATCTGTATAGTCTGTGTCTGTTTTTAACTACATACTATTTTCTAAGTTTAGTTAGAGGGCTTGGCTATATAAAGTTTTTTTGGTTTTGTTTTTTCCTTCTTTAGCTATATCTTCTAAGTTAAGTTCGATATCTGAAGTAATAGTACAAGGTGATTCTAGACTTGTTAGTTCTCTAGTTGTATTGCTAGTATTCCTATTTTGGTTATTAGATATTTGATTAATTTTTATTTCAATCATTGCATTATCTGATTTGTTAGTTACGTCTTTTGTTTTTCTTGAAGTTTTGGTTGCTGGACTGCTATACAAGAGGTCTAGGGTTCAAATTCCACTGTTAACAGAATTGAATAATTACTTAAACATCTGTATTCAACTTACAGTAAACTCTGCTCATTTCTGGAGTTGTAATTCTGTAAATCATATTGTACCAATACCAATTGAGGTATTAAAAGTGTGATAGGGTATTTGGGAGAGCATAACATTATACGAATAAATCTTGATAGATTCTATAGGCAGAAGACCTGCATAGTAGAAATCTCAAGTTAGGTGAAGTAGTATGAATTTTGACAGTCATACTAGTTAACGCCTGATCTAGAAAGAAAATCTGTATATGAAAAAATCAATGAAATAGATACGAGTAAGTTTTGAGTACAGAAGGATCAATAAAACAGATGTGAGTAAATCTGTTATACAAGATTATATAGCAACACCAACTTGGCTTGATGGCTAACTAGATTTGAGAGGATTTGTCTCGTGTGATATCTGGTGGCAAAGCAGGCAACACCAAGCAACAGATTTGGGAGGATCTACTTTGTGAGATATCTGAAGACACAGATGACTAACTTAGTAAAAAGTCACAGTAGAAACTAGGTTTGTATAAACATCAAACACAGTATATGCAAGCTAGATTAGGATATAGCGTAGCATAGTTGGGTACTACAGCATCTATAGATTAGAAAGTTAGAGAAGAGATACCTGAGATAGGCCTAGACTTCGAATCTTAAAGTTTGTAGATACATGTTAGCTCAGGTGTCTTTCTAGAGAAGTAGCATAGAGTTAGATAAACTTAGTAAAAAAGGATAGAATATAAGTAAGTGTCATAGGGCTAGAGAGTTTAAATAGATAATTTTCAAATAGATTTCAGGTATAGTAGCTAGTGTAGAACCTTCAGACAGACTACTTAAATTAGACAATCTAAAGTTGTACATGTGGCTAGTTGTACTCTCAAAATATGTAATCATTTACTCACTATCAATACCAATAAAAAGTTCAGCTAATGGCATTTGTATAAAGTAAAAAAAAAAAAAAAAAAAAAAAAAAAATATATATTTAATTTTATTTAAATTTTTTAAAATTTAATATATACTCAAAACTAAAAATTTTTTAACCTTAAGAAAAGTTCAAATTTTTATATATATATTTTTTTATTTTATTTTATTTTATACAAATACTATTAGCTAAACTTTTATTAATTTTATAATTATAGAATATGATATATATTATAAGAGTACACTAACTACATATATAATTTTAGGTTGTCAATTTAAGTAGTCTACCTAAAAGTTCTATACTAGCTACTATACCTAAAATCTCTTAGAAGATTCTCTATTTAAACTTTCTTGTTTTATCTTATTTACTATAAGTATTACTCTTTTAAGTTAATCATAACTCTATGTTACTTTACTTTAAGAGGCATTCAAGCTAATATATATCACAAACTTTACTATTATAGGATTAGGTCTGAGTTCATATTATTTTACTAATAATCATTTCATTAATAGCTCATTTAGTTAATATCACACTAAGTGATAATTTACTAAAAATATATCTAAAACTAATAAAACCCTAACTCTAACCCCATGTAATATTGGCTAAATAAACTTTTAATAAAATAACTGTTAGTGAAGTGAGTGGCATCTCTAGGTCTTATTCAAATAAGTTCTATTTCAATACTTCTTAATAGATAGATACTATGATATCCAACTATGCTACATTATATCCTAATCTAGCTTATATATACCCTTATTTGATATTTATACAAACTTAGTTCTAGCTATAGCCTTTTATCAGATTAGACTTCTGTATTCTTCTGAATATTTTATGAAGCAAATCTTCTTAATCTAGTTAGCTACTAAGCCAAGTTGGTGTTGCTATATGATCCTATATAACAAATTTAATTGCATTTACTTGATCTATATTTTCATACTCAGAAATTTTTATCAGATCAAGTATTAACTAGTATAATTATCAAAATCTGTACTACTTTACCTAACTCAGAATTTCTACTATGCAGATCCTTTACTTATAGATCCTATCTTGATTTATTCATGTAATGCAACTCAAATATTCTGTTACACTTCCAATATCTAATTAATATTAGTGCAATGTGATTTACAGAGTTGTAATCTTAAGAAATGAGCAGAGTTTACTATAAGTTGAATATAAAGTTTGAAAAATTATTCAAATTATTAACAGTATGATTTGAACTCCAAACCTATTGTATAGTAGTCTGACAACCTATTCACTATACTAGATCACTAGATCTAAATTTTTATAATTAAATTACAAAAATTATAATAATAAAAATTTTTTCTCTTGATAAATTCTATACAATTCTAATTTTTTTTAAAAAAATAAATAATAATTAATAAATTTGTCAGGAATAAGTAATAAACTTTTTAAATAAAAATATTTTTTTAGAGTCACATAACTTTAGTATATAGACAACTTAGATTTTTTTCTTATAAAATAAAAATAAATACTATAATAATAAAATTCTTATTTTTAAATATTATCAAAAAATTTTATTTTAATTTTATAAAAATGTAGATCATATATATTGTTACACAAATTTTCCAGGCATGCTTAGAATAGCCTACAGATTAAGAGATAAAATACAAATAATTCCTATTTAAGGTTAAAGAAAAGTCCTATAAGCATACATCCTAAATTCATAATAATATAGTAACTCTCACCAAGCCTCACAAATCTATTGTTAATAGCAGAACTTTGTGAATCCGCAATAGAAGGTTGAGTTTGAAGACTATTTTGAGTATTTGAGGTTTTGGGGTGATTGACTATTACTATAACAGTTCCTGGATCAGATGATGGTGAATGTTGTTTATTTGGAGTTAATGGAATTGCAACAGTTACTGGCATCGTAGGATTTATCATTGCGGTCATTACTGAGTTCCAATCATGTGTCGGTGTCATAATTATTGCAGGAGTAGCAGCATTCGCTGATGTCGTGACTACTGGTGTAGCAGTGTTTGTTGGCGTTGAGACAACTAACGTAGCGGCGTTTGCGGCTACTGACATCTCGTTATTTGTTGATGAAGTCGTTTGCGGATCGGGAAGAAGAGAAATTTCTGGTAGCGGTAAGGGAATATTACCTAATAAAAAAGAATTTGAGGTCTCTTTTTTTATTACAGGAGTTGTTACGGAAGGTGATTCAGATGAATCTGCAAAAAATGACCCTATAAATATATTTAATTGATATTTAACGACATTAAGGATTGAAACCGTTTAACTGCTAAAATTTGACCTATTATTTCCGAACGTTGGTAAAAATTATCGATAATAGTATTAATTCCAGCTGAATTAAACGGTTAAACACGATTAAGAAAGTTTTGGACTGTTTCAATCCCTAAATGACGTTTTGAAAACAAATAATTAATAACTAAGGGTCAAAGCACCTTCAAGTACAGTGAATCTAGGACTCCAACTAACGCCACCTTTATCAGGCTTATCGGGATCTGAAAACATCAAGGAATAAAGTTTTCCTGGAGGATAACCCAATGTTTTAATAGATGGCACTTTAAAAGCAGTTTGTGTTTCATTGGTTAAAAGGTTTTCGGCGATGGTGAGTAATGTAATTTGTTGCTTATCATGATCTGTCATGAATTGAACTTTGATTCCTGACATTGATGAAGTTGGTGGATTTCCGTCATCTATAAATTTTATTGTTATCTTTTTAAGATGGAGAAAATATTAAAAGATAGAAGACGCGTTTATTATTTAATTAAGAGATAATTTAAGAGATAATTGAAATACCTGATCACCACATATTAAAACAGATTCACTTGTTGGGAAAGTTACAGATGGAACTTGGAGAGAAAGATTCGTTCCAACTACAAGTATTAATAAACAACTTAAATATATTTTAAATAACATTGTTTTGGAGTAGTATCCTTAAATTGGCTCAATTACGTAAAGGATTGATTATATTTTACTTCGTAAATTAGAAGTAAATTTTGGCGCAAATGCGAGCGCTTTTATGAAAAGAATGGAATTAGTTCGTCAATGGAAGGCTTTCCATAAAATTTCGCTTAAAAGGTAAACTTTTTAGATAGTAACTTAAATTCTTTAATTCATTCATTTATTTGCCACTTTTATTTTATAACAAAAATTTCAGACAAGTGTTACGAATTCACTAAATAAGTTATAGCTTTGATCGTTGTCATAATTTATTGTTTTCATTATTAGTTTTTTTAATGATCAATTAAAGAAAATATTAAGTGTTTTGCTTATTTGTTATGTATAATAATTCCATTCTTTCGGTACGATTTATATCTATACTGTATAAATAACAATGCATTACAGGTTATTTCTAAAATAATTTGCTTCTGTTTTTTTTTCAAATACTTAATAAATTTTCATTTAACAACTTTTAATACAAATTTGCCCCTAGTTTTACTGTGCAGAAATAAAAATCTCTAATACGTCATATGTATGCGCAAGAAAAACCTTATGGCGCATATATTTGATTCAAAATCTAAAACTACTCAAAGAAACTTTGTACATTGACTTTTTAATCAATTGTACATATGCATGATTTTAAGACTTTAGACTAGGACCCGAGCTAATGGTGCATCTTCAAAAGGAGCATAATATATTTTCAATTTTTGGTCGAAACAAAGTTTTGACCTAACCTTTCTTTGAACGGCTCAGAGACCTTGTTAATGATGGGTGATGACGGTTATTTTCTTTACCGCTACGCAAACTTCAATTTTTAAATTTTGTGGTAATTAATATTTAACATCAAAAACATCAAAAGGAACGATAATTTCAACATTTACTTATTATGTACTTACGTTGATGTAAACAACTAAATTTAGTAAATAAGATTTTTACGTATACGTATTTACAGTACATTAATGAAGACCCAGACCCACAATATCCTTATTTTATTATGTAACGGTAGGGTTTATTTGGATTAACGTTGACGTGTTTATACCTATTATTTTTGTTTAAAATATCATAATATTTGATGTAGCACAACTTGTAAAATTATTAATACATGTAAATTAAATGAACAAAATTTATGATTATTTATACGTTACACTCGATATGAAGCCATTTTTCATTATTTAAACACTTGGAACATCTTTACCTGATAAACTATTTAGAATTCATGGTCAATCTTTAATTGAACCTCGGATAATTAATATTTATTTATTTATTGGTTCAGTTTAAACTTTTTTTAAAGCGTAACCCAATAAGCAAAATGGATCGGGTTACCACATGTACTGTATATGCATTATCCTTTTAAATACGCATAACTAGAGGTGCGGACATTTGTCAGGTCAAGGGTAGCTACCCTCTACGTCATATAAAATTTCCAGTTACGGCTATGACGTACGTATGTTATTTCATGCTCTACGTAATGTCCGCATAACCGTGATATCTCAGTACTATAGTCCCAACAAATAAAAATTATATGATGTGGCCAAATTTAAAATTTTGCTAAATTTAATATATATAAAGTGGCCAAATTTAAACTTAAAATCTATAAGATAGCCAAATTTTAAATTTTAAGTGGCCAAATTTAAGA